TCTTTCAAAAGTTTACAACTGAGCATTGACTTAATACAGCTTTGAAACTTTATTATACAGAAGAAAAATGCTGTTTTTAACCATCTTAATTGAAATGAAACGAGCACAGAAATGGTTTCCTTACCATGTCAATTTTTTTTAAACTTTACCTTTTTTAAAAAAAGTAGTAGTTTACATTTAACACAGTACTGTACTGTATTTGGGTTGGGGGTTTTTTGGGAAGGGGGCAGGGGTGAAAGTAACTTAAAAGTCTTACTTCCGGCTCTGGGCCCCTATAAGGGACAGGGCCTTGGGCAGAAGGGGTGGGGCTGGGGGTCAGCATCCCCCAGCCAGCCCTTCAGCGCTTCCCGGCCCATGCCACCCGGGGCTCCGGCAGCAATTTAAAGGGCCCAGGGCTCCGGCTGCTGGTGCAGTAGTGGTGGCTGGACACCGCGAGTCCTTTTAAATCACCGGGCCCCAGGGCAGCTGCCCCTTTTGCTCCCCCTTCTCCAGTGGCCCTGGGGAGGGCAAAAGGGGCAGTGACGTTAAAGTGCTGCTGCAACAGTGCTTCAAGGACCCTACTGGCAGGGCTGCTGATTGGAGGGAGGGGGCAAAAGGGGCAGCGACATCAAAGTTTAATATTGGCTGTGTACGGGCCTGTATCAGCGGCCACTTCTTACCGGCACGCTGCCCACTTTCACCTGGGCGGGAGGTGTTTCTCTACTGCTGCCTGATTGCGTACTTCTGGGTCCAAATGAGGTATGCTGTTACAGGTCAATTCATACCTCTGAGTTTCTACTGTATCAATACATATAAGGAGGCAGAAATATTTTTGTGAGGAACCCTTCACCTGGAATTTCCTGACTTCTCTTTAATCAAAATCTGAACTTTAGTTTTACACTGAATCCCTTTTGTTCTGAATTCATAGAAGTCAGTTCTGATCTATTTAAAAATGATACACAAAGCAGTTTTCTACATTCCATATGAAGGAATTATGCATCTGGAGTATAAGGCTGTATCTTGCCATTATTTCAGATGCAGGAACTCCAAGAGGACTTATGGGAGTTTTGGATACCAAAAAACAAACAAACATTGGATATTGTCTTAAAGACACTCTTCAAAAATATTGGCCCAGATTCTGAGCGTTATTGAGAAGAACTATATTATAGCATCATTGTTAGATGTTGAGAGGAAAGCAGTTCTTCAATTAATCGTACGATACATTTTAAAAGTAGATTATATCTTTGTCACCTGCTGTAATTTAGACTGTCTATGTTTATCTTTTTTTCACTTTGCTGAATCCTAAGTCTGTTATTTCCTTTGGACAAAGCAACACACAAAATGTACCTTAAACAACAAATTTCTGCTATTGGGAACTGCCCAGCAAAGTTCTCCAGTCATATGAACTACAGGATGTGCCAAACTGCCCTAATATAATTCAGATAATCATCAAGCTGCATGTTCCATGTTATGTTCCATTTACTCATAATGAAGTATGATGTAACTCAACATGACCTATCAGGACCTCACATTTCAAGACAGCATGACAAAAAGCATGCAGTGGATGAGTTTCTTTATTGGGATTATGCTTCCCACTGATGGCTTCCTTTCAACAGATGTCTGACTGAGAAAGAACAAATATTTAATTGCAACTTATTATAAAACACCGAGTATATTCAATTCTGAGTTTCCAAGTAGCAATGGTAGTAATGATTTTTTTTGTTCCTTCCCCGCTTTTTCATACACATTCTGCTACCCAGCTTCAATACTAGAGTAAGGCACATCATTTTTAGTAACATATAATCTGAATTAGTTATGGTGAGGCTTTTGTACTGGCAAAAAATGTTCTTTAACTAAAACAGCATTTTCTAGTTTACTGGACAAATACCAGAAGAAAATTGCGGAATCATGTGGGGTTGCTAAGCAACCAATAGTTCCAGTGTCATTTGTTTGTGATCAATTCAAGTCATTCATCAGGCTCTGAAGCACCATGCTAAGGAATTCCAACAAATTTGTTCCTTGGGAAAGCCACAGAGACTTCCTGCAACACAATAACACTTTCATTCTTAGAAGATAAATTTAGATGTTCTTTTGATGAAATGTGATATGTTAATTCATTATTCTTAACATACTACTAATGGGCAAAGCTTCAATTAACTAACTACACCATTATAACACATGCAAGATAAAATGGAGTAATTAGTACTGCTTAAAGTAGTCACTATCCTCTCCCACTGGGAAAATGAAGAAGGAAGCTTCCTTATCATGCAAACAGTTGTCCACAAAAATCACTATATGTAATTTGCAGCTAGCTTTTGTTGATTTTTTTACCAGTGATATGTGATAAATTACATTTTTAATAGCAAACAAAATGGCTGCAGTCCAAACCACACTAGGTAGACCTAAAATGCTGTGAATAATATAATCTTTCATTTAAAGGGAATGCTTATCTCTGGGCTTTCTGGAATAAAGGGATGTACTATTATGCCTTTACTCATTACGTTTCATTACAAAATGTGGCACATAGTAAATGCCCATAATAATTACATTCTCTATAGACAGTCAGTGAGTTAAGGATAAAACTGCAATCAAAATGCACATAATTGAAAACATAGTATCCTTACTGTCTTGTTTCAGTCTCTGGTTCAGAATTCAATGCCTCATATTCTGATTGTTTAAAATGTTGTACTGTATTATCAATTTCAAAGAGTGAATGTAAAAGCTATGCTTATATTTATGGTAAAACTTCTACAAGACCAAATTGCTTACAATTTTTTGGACATGGACATTTTCCAGAATTTTCATACAAATCCTGTGGTTATTTTCTCTCTTGTATTGCTTGCATAAATTATTTTGTCCCATGCCTTGCCCTTATCATAGGACCTGGTCTTGTAATCAACTTACTCAGGCAGAACTCCCATTGACAACAAAAGGACCCTTGCTTGAGTAAGTAATACAGAAGCTTGGTTCACAAGCCTTTTCAATTCCATTAAAAACAATTTGCCTTTCTGAGAGCAAATCATTCAGTAATTTTGAAGTCACAACAAAAGGTCATATTAGGACATCAGTGATATATCACATTATTCATTTTAGGGAGGATTTTTATTTGTATTCTATATTTTTCTTTTACAAGATGGTGACCAAATTTGGAAACAAAATTTTGTTAAGTAAATAAAATCTGCATGCAAAGGATCATGGGTTATAATGTGTCAATGATCATATAAACAGCTCCAATAAAGGTATGACACCCATGTTTCCAAATTTGGTCAACATATTTTAAAGAAAAATATAGAATATTCATTTTAGGGAGTGGTGTTTTTTTAAATGTATAAGTCACTATCTTTTTCTTTGAGTACTACTAGGGGTCAATTCATGCTATTTATTCAGTAGTGCTCAGTGGTGCTTATGACGTTCTTCCAAATACCATTCCATTAACACTTACTTTCAACCACATAATTTAACTTTGTCAGATAAAATAGAACTTCAGAGTCAAACAAAATGAGATTTGTCAAATCACTTGTGTAATTTCCCAATAATATATATCAGACTCAACTACTTCTAATTACTAGAAATAAAAATATATGCATATATATGGTTTTTTACCTATTAATGATGTATGAAAATGTACTGCATTTTCAGACATGATTTTACAACTTATCTGTCCACCTGTCTAAAACATGTCATGTCAAAAACTTGAACCAAATAAATGTTCAGTGATGAGCTGTGTGAGAAAAGGCAAGTCCAGGTTCTTGGTGCAAAGGCTTGTGTGGGCTGTTTGTTAATTTATTCTATTACATTGCAGAGAAGCCTATTGAAATTATGCAATCAGAAAATGTAAGTGGAACCACTTATTAAACCAAACTTTGTGGTTATCAAAATTATTATAAACAGATGCATCTTTTGATTAATGGTATTCTCAAATTGTACAATCCAAGTTATTAATCTACCATACATCACTAATACCTATAGGTTCTTGCATTTCTCCCTACTTTTGGTGAATTCATCTACATTTTACTGCAAAGATGAATTACCACAACTCTAATGAAAGATGTTAAATATTTGTAAGAAAAAGAGATGGCTATTGAAAAGACGACACGTCCCTTTCTCCCTCCTCCCCCCCCCAAAATAATCTGAAAATATATATCCCCAAAGGAAACTGAAATTGAGGCTTTCAAACTTGAACTTTCACAAAGCAATGTGAAATTCTGAAGAAACAATCCTAAAACTAATAGTCACCTCAAGCTATTTGTGTTTGTGATCTTGGATATATACAAAACAGATCTTCTCTTCTTCGCCTGTTATTTCTGCTGAAAGTTTCCTCTTGTGTTTTCTAGAGCTCTGCAGTGCAAACTTTCGCTGGGCAACAGCTTTGCACAGTGTCACAGCATGCACTTAAAAAAACTGCATCAAAAGTGCCTGGACAATAAGGACAGACCATCTCAAAATGCCTCTGACTCAGAAAATGCGTGAAGGAACTAACTGGTGTCTTGCTCCCCAAAACATGCGTGAGGTGACGATGTCTGTCCTAGAGCCACTGTGAAGCGAAGCCAAAGAGCAAAAAGACTCCAAAGCCCAACTAAAACCTGCCAACCCAGCTCCCTCGCACAGCTGTTCTGATCTGAGTCCCTTTGGTACTTTCCAAGGCTCCACCGAGCGTTAAAGCGTTTGCATCCCCAGCGCCTAGGCACATCCATAAAGCTACGCCGCGGTTGGGGTTTAACTCCAGCCCAGCCGCTCTGCTGCCGGGAGCCCCGGCTTAACACACACATAGACTTGATGTTTCAGTGCAATCAGCTGCTTTCCGAGCCCTTTAAACCCCCTGCCTCAGCAGGTCTGCCTCAGCTTCCCCCTATCGCCTTGCCTCCCCTCCATCGGATCTGAGGTTTCCCCCTGGGCAGATCGGCTTGTTCGCAAGAAAGAAACCAACTGACCTCAACCTCCTATGAAAGAAAAATGCCCCCCACCCCACCCCACGTCCCACCTTCTACCCCCACCCAGCCACACCCCTACTCAACCAGTACCTGGGCTTGCTGGTTGCACCTCAGGGCGGGCGGGGAGGTTAGCGTCCCTCGCTGGGAAGCGCCCGGAGTTCGCAGGGGAAAGGGAGAGGCGCCCGGCTGGGGCTGCGGTTCGTGGACAGCAGCTCCCCCGTCCCAGCGCTCCGAATTAATCACTTCGCCTTCCCCCCATCCAAAAAAAAAGGGAAACGCACTGAAAGGAAGAAGGCTCCCTCCGTGACTGGCATCAATATCTCCTTCGGCGGAGCTTCCCGGGAGCCATGGCAACGAGCCCCTAAACCTCCCAAATCTCTCCCGGCTTCACACACACACACACACACACACTGGGGCTGGCCCAGCAGCTCGCGCTCCCCACCACCCGCACAGGCTGGGGAAGGTGCAGGGGAGGGTGGCAGCCTGCAGCTCCCCGGCACACGCCCCTCTACAGCCGCTGGAAGCTGTTGCCTTCCTCCCGAGGGATCTGGGGCAGCCTCAGCAAAGCAAAAGGCAGCCCTGCAAAAAAGGGGACGGCGGGGGGGGAGGCAAATTCCTCCCCTCCACCCGATTCAGCTGCAAGCTGGGGAGCAGTTTGCACGGCAGCCGGACCCCCCACCCCCACTCTAAGGCAGGTGGGGCGCTCCCACCTGATGCAGCCGCTCCCTCGGACCGCGGCAATCCGGATCAGCGGACCGCGGGAGGGCAGCCCCTTGAGGTGGGGAGCGAGCCGCACAGCTCCCAGCCGCGGGGCGCGTGGGGAGCTCGCCGTACCTTGGGAAGATCGGGGTCCCCCTGGTTCCAGCGCTGGTCGCCTCTTCCCCCTGGCTGAGGCTCGCCCTTCTCTCCCGGCGGGCTGTGGCTAAGTGCCTGGTTCCTTCCCCAGCTGCCAGAGGGCGAGGAGCGCAGGGTGCCGTCCCAGCATGTTCACACTTTCCACTCCCTCTTCCTCCTCCTCCTCCTCCCTGGAGGCTTGGGAGCGCGTGGAGAGCGGGGAAGAGCGAGCCCAAACTCCCTGGGTGCTGGAACAGTTTCTATAGTGAAGGTGCTGCTGCTGGAGACCACCGATTTGGTGTCTGCTATTACTATTCCAGCCAGGGATGCGGCAGTACCCCCAGCACCCCTGTCCCAGGGAGCGTGGCTGAGGAGGGGCACAGGGCTGGAGATGCGCAAGGACCCCTCTGATAATGAGGGGCCAAGAGTTGAAAGCTACAACCAGGGACCTTTGGGGCCTATGTTAAGGACCCACCTTCAGAAGCCCCTGAGATAAGGTACCTCGGAGACCACCGCCAGAGCATTTTGGAAAAACACAAGACAAAATGGCATATTCTTGACCGCACGTGGTTCGTCCCTCTTCAGTAACTGTACCCATGGATGGCATATAACTGGAAGAAGAGGGGTAAAATCAAGACAAGGAAAATAATGGCTGAAGGGCAGGGGGGGGGCACAAACCAACTTGCAAGACCCTTCAAATAATGGACTGAACTGCCAAGGGAGGTGGTAGTGAGCCCACTACCTACGTTAATTAAACCAGTAGGACTAAATATAATACCAGACTCTTTTCTTGCATCTAAATCAGACCTCTCCATTTTCCACCAGAGACAAAACTTTATACCCTCCCCATACAAGGCAGGTGCTGTAAGCAATTATTATCATAGCAGATTCGTTAAATTAGAGTGTTCTGAAAGTTAATTAATCCCATATCATTTGAGACACCTTACAGCATCGTTTTTCTCCACCTCCCTCTACCTTTCTTTTCCGCACCTAGCCAAATTAACTCCTTTTGAATTAGTGAGCATTTGGAATCTCTGGAACATATTGAAGGAGTGGAAAGGTTGGCTTTTACCTCTGTGTATTTTCCTTGAATAACCTGTTTATTCCATAGAGTAACATTGAATTTTCCCCTGTGTTAGTCAGGCAGGTGAAGACAAACTATCACCAATCTGTCAGCCATGTTCTTTAAAGATTTTACCTAGGAAGGAGGGGAGTGGATTTTGTGAGTGCTTGGACTTCTCTTACAGTTTCCTACTTCACTGCTGCCTCCCAAGTGTGACCTTTCCATTCCCCTTCCCCCCACCCAAGCTTTGTCTGATGTGATGAACAAAAATGATCATAAACACACATTAAACCATAAAACCAGACTGAGTGGAGGGCTAGCACTCATGGGGATTATTACCACTGGGATTAGAGATTTTTAAAATATTAACAATTAGAAAGTGTTGATGTACCAGGGAACCACTGTTGTCCACCTCAGGCAAAATTGTTTAGGTGAGTTATTTTTGGACAGGAAGTGAATAAAATGGCACATTAGGCTTAGGAAAAACTGTTATAAAGCAATTGAGGTAGTAGGAGAGAGATTCTGCAAGCTAATAAGAAAGATGGTAGTATAATTTAATATATTTGTTCTGAATAAGGAAACTGAATGCAAAAATCTATACTGAGTCAGTGCTATGGTTTACGTTTCAATCACGTAAAATCAACCAATATACAGACAGAATTTTCTCAGTAACTGTAACTCAGCCAACTTGTGACTATAAGGTTGTTGAAATTTACAACCAGATGTAGAGGGGGGAAACCTACCTCTGTGCAAGGGAGCTAAGTTTTGGTTGCTTGTAAAAGTCACAATATTGAATTCCTAGATTTATCTGCAATTAGGGCCTTGCCCAAAGCCCAGCAAAGTAAACAGGAGTCTTTCCATTGACTAAAGTGGACACTGGATCCAGCCTTCACAGCTAAA